TCATTGAAGAAGGCTCGACAAGTCTTATGTTAAACTTACTGACAAAGTTTGTTATACTATAATGCTTCGGCGGCGAATACATGTAGTTTGAAAGACATAATATAGATTCTTCAGCAAATTCACTTATACTGGATTTTATAACAATGTTCTCACGAGACCAAATACCACCAATTGACAATCTTGTAAGCAATCCTGCTGAACCTTCTACTGTAAACGTCGATGGTAACATTCCACGAAGGTCATCTATTGACATCGTTGAGTCACTGTATTTAAATATTTTCTTAAAGCAATCGTCATTATCTAACCATGCAATAGCTTTGAAGTTTTCATTCGAATATACATCTGCTTCATTAAATGTAAAACCTGACTTCTTTGCAGAGATGACTTTAAAATCTATTGCATTTGTTTCAAAATTATATGCTATGGTAACTTCTGAAGGTAATGGATGTCCTTCCGCAGTCAGTTGTTCTCTCACTACCGTTTGAAGCTTTGTATTAAAAACTTTCATGTCATCTCCTGTGTCTAGGTTCACATACACAGCAACAGGAAAACTATCTTGCTTCTTTGTTTCATCATTATACCTCAAAACATTAAAGTTCTTCAATAATATTGTTCTTCCTTGCTGGAATACTTCGAACCTGTCTGATTTCAATAGCTTTCTCACCTCCTACATACTCTACCCAGTGTCTTGGATATTCATAAGTATACTGACTTTCTTGAATTTTGGTTGGTTTCATCATAAATGTTCATAGTATATCTTTATACTCTTGTCAGTTAGACTCGGTGCTATGTTCTGAATATTTCTGACTTGCATTTTTAATGGAGATAAAATGAAGCATTTAATACATGACGTAGATGAAGACATGAATGAAACTACAGACAAACTTAACTCTTCTCTCATTCTTCCTTTCAGTAAGGACTATGAGTTCTGTTCAAATGGTGTTTATTTCTATTGTGGAAAGATGGGGTCAGGAAAGACATTCAACCTCATTCGTCATATACTCATAACAGAGCGTTTAGGAAACGACTCTTACTATGACCAAATCATTATATCAGCAACTTCAGACTCTATGGACTCAACAGCGAAAACATTTATGTCAAAAGTTCAAGCCTCTGTCGTTAAAGTTCCAGACAGTGAACTCATTGAATTTCTTCAACGTTACATTCGACGTAAGAGGAAATATTATGCCATCGTTGAATTTATACAGTCAGGAATGCAAAAGACTTCAGAAGAGATGGAAAGAATTATTGACAAACACCACTTACGTCAATACTCAGGAGTTTACGATATGAAACGACTTACAAACTACATTCTGTCAAAACTTTCAAAATACCCCTTCAAAAAATATCCATCAAACACTTTATTAGTTTGTGACGACTTCGCCGGAAAAGGTTTAGTGTCAAAACCAGACTCACCATTAGCTAACATCATTACTAAAGTCAGACATTACCACTTAACTGTAGCAATACTTATGCAAACATGGAGGTTTTTAGCTTTAAACATAAAACGTCTCATAACTGACTTCGTTATCTTTCAAGGTTTCTCACGTTATGATATTGAACTCATTTGGAAACAGTCAGGTATAACATTACCTTTTGAAGAAATTTGGGAAGCATATAAGTCTCTCATCTCTCCTCGTTCATACCTTGAGATTCATATCATGACTAATACCATTAAAGTCAAAAATATTCCATGGGAAACGACCAACATTGTTTTAAAGTTTAACCTTCAATTGACTGATGGTAAACAAATTCCATGCATCTCTGTCGCCATTTCTGTTAATATTTTTGCTGTCATTCATATCATCCACTTCCACATCCGTTAGCTTTTGAGGATATGCGTTAGAATAGCTGTTCTTAAATGAAGGCTTTTCACCTTTGAGAGCATAAACTCTATAACTTTCTGCATACTTTATGTTTGAACCTCCTGAGCCATCATTGACATAAATTTTTATAGGCTTCCACCCTTTGTTCATGTTCCTGCTTCTTCCCTTAGCTCTTTTGTTCAGTAGTTCTACATCTTTATACACAGCTCCTGTCTCAGTGAATTCAACAATATTTTCATTCTTAGCTTTACATTCAAACCCTTGTCGAGTATATTGTTCATTTCATACATATAAAAGGTTTTTATTCTATATGAAATGAGAAGCAAATCCATCTTAGCTGGTGCCGTTAATGTTCCAATTGAACAACATCAAATGTTGACTCACGAACGACAAACAATATTGTCATAAAGAACTATAGTTCAGAGTGTTTGAAAGAAAAAGAACCAGAGCTGAAATCCGTGAATTTAAACTCAGCTTCAAACGCTAACGCTACATCAGATGTTAAGTTAGAGTATCCACCACTGGACCAAATTCTTTCAAGAGAAGCCAACGACAATCCTTACACAAATGTTTCAAACAAATCTCTCAGATAACGTAGACCATTACCTTCTTCAGTTATACCAACAATTTTACTCAAAGACGATAAGAAGCTTTTGGTAAATCTTATAAGCAAGAACCAAATAATTCTAACAAAGGAGGACTTGAAAATGTTATCTCACGAAATAACAGGGAAACAATGTGTCATTGACTATCTCGACCCTGAAATCGAATGCTGTGGTCAAACACTCCACTATTCATGAAAATAGGTAACATCCGCATCATTGAAACACCAAGGAACTACAGGAGTTGAGTTTAAGTATAAATATTCGAACGAATATACAAAACTTTCAACAGAATATAAACTTTGTTTGAAATATGTTTTAGTAAAATTAAAGCATCAGGAGGGCTCTTTGAGCCCATCTTGGCGCTTTGCGCCGTCAGTCAAAAAAATTTCAAGTTAGCAAATTTGTAATATCTATCCAAAACTTCTTTCAACAGTAATCGAACTCATCTTCATAATGCAAACCTAATCTTATTGACTTGGTGCAGTTTTCACTAACACAATATTTTTCTGTGCTCTTGACTGACATAACTAATTCATTTGTTTCATCAAACAGCAACAACCAAAGTTCATGACCTAATACATAACATTCATCTTTAATTTTTAGCTCTGAGTTCTCTTGTAAGCTGTTGCATTTAATATTTTCTAAAAAGTCAACTTCAACATCATTCGCACTGGTGCCTTCAGTTCTACAGGCTCTCCTTGAAAGTCAACAAGTCTGAATTGCATGTCTTTCAAATTATGAGGACTAATGCGAACCCATTTACCTAAATGAGTTGCTATGACAGGAACGTTTGGAATGAACATTGAATTGACTGCATAACAGAAGGATTTATATTCTACTGAACCTTTACTATTAACTCCTGAAATGCCTGTGACATTAGCTATTTAGACTCAATGTATAAACAATTGCCATAACATACGTATGGAACAGATTTCATCTCAATCGTTTTGTCAACACTTTTCAAAGGAAATGTCATATTATGCACCCAAAAGAATTGTACTCTATGACTCATTCTTGGTATCTTAAACTCCTTCGCATAACTGAACTTCAAAACTCCTGCAATAAGTTTAACATTCATTAAGTTTTCTTCGTTATCCTTGTTTATTGTAGTATTTATGAGAGCATTTAACACTCCAGCTAATGTTTCCATCTTATATTCTACATTATTGTGAAATCTTATTTCGTGCTTCTTTCCATCTATTTCAATCTCCATGAAATCTGTTTTCATCTGTTATAACGAATGAAGCGATAGTATTGAAGTCAACCATTCTGAATGCAAGCGCCTCATTCTGTAGACCTAAGTTTGTTTGTAGCTTTACTGTCCCGTATTCGTTTGGGTCTGTACTTTGCAAATAGAACAACATTTTATTCTCATTAAAATATGAGTATAGCTGCATATGCGTATGAAGCTGACAGAGCTAAACGTTTTATATTTTTGGTCAATACTCTCTCACACTTACTGACAAATATATTGTTATCACTGATGGAAATACTGAGAAATACATAACATGGAAGGACTATGAAAAGTTTGACCCTATTTTAACTCCATGTACTATGCCGTTTATAAAGGACGGTGAAATTATTGAAAAAAGATAATACAACCGTATATAGGTCTGTTTATGAAGCATTAGAATATATGTTGAATCATAATCCAAAAAGATTTGACCCAAGCACTACACCATGTGCAATGCCTTTTATTAAGGACGGTGAAATCGTAAGAGTTCCGGATTCAACGGTTTACACAGCTGTTCAAAACAGTTTACAAAACATTTTAGCGAATATCTTTAATTCAGAAACTACAGAAATAAAATTACCATATATAACAGATGCTAAAGAAATTAAATCAAAAACGACAACATTATTTACGTCACTTAATGATTTAATGACTTATATCATTAATATTCCTGCACCAACTACAGCATTTGATCCAAACTCGACGGTTTGCAGTGTACCTTTCATAAATGACAGTTCATTAATTGCTTTAAGGGATTCAACAGTAAATGAATCATTAAAGGCGTCATTAATGAAAATCATTGATTTTAATTCATTCACGAATACATATAATTCATTCATTAATGTTTCATATGCTTCTAAAGAAGGTGAGCCAAAAACTATCGATAAAGCGGTGTATGAAATAAAAGCATCAACGACGAAATTGAATTCGTTAACTTTTGACGGTGATAGTTTCGTTAATGACATAACATCGGGGAAAACAATTTTAACGAAAGAATACTTAAAATCTCATGTTAGTGAGTTCGTTGAAATTGAAAAAGAAGGTGGAATTAAGTTTGATCCACTGAATTTCATTTTCAGCTTAGCGAATGCGGGTGTTAGTTTCGCTGAATGGACAACTATACAGAGTGAAATAAATGCAATATGGACGTTTTTGGGGTCAAAAGCGGGAATGGGTGAGCTTGTAAATGCTGCAAGAACATTAGGTGAAACAGGAAATTTTGTAGATGGTTTTAAAAGACTTGTTTCAAATGTTTTAACAAACACAAAGAAATTATTTAGATATACCGTACATAACGGACGGATTTTCGAACAGATAGCAACAAACCCTCCGGTTATGGCTGCGTTGATGATGGTTAGAGATATAAAACCACGTAACGACGGGAACGAAGAACATGAACAACAGGATACTGGTCGGGTTATTCGAGACATTAAAAACGTGTATCCTGAAGTTATTGATTTATTTAGAGGAGTTAATGATTCAATTTCAAAACATTCTATAACCCTCGATGAAGAGAATAAATTAACAGATTATATATTCGTCATTATTGCAGAACTAATGAAGAGAATAAATGAAAAAGGAATTGGTGATATCATTAATGTCAGCGATGTAATGATGAAAAGAAATTTTGACTCATTATTTACAAAACCGAAAACAGAATATAGTCTTTATGACGTAATTACCGAATTAATGAAAAAGATTAATGATAATAAGAGTTCTGGCGGAAGAGTTGAATTAGAAGTGAATGATGTTAATGAGAAATTAGCCGAAAAAGCAGACAAAAATGAGCTTTTAGCTCTGAGTGATAAAGTCAAGAACCACGTTCATTATATAACTTCAGACGAACAGATTATAACGGACTACCATGGATATTTAACACAGGATGAACAAATAAGCACTGAAGATGTTAATGAAAGAAGATATAAATACATTCGTGCTAAAGGTTATGACATAAGCTGTACTGTACAGTATGATGTAGCTAAAGCACCAGAAGCATTTGGTTATACCGGTGAAATTTATGCCTCTACTTTCAATGTTAACGGTGTATTAGTTGAACCAAGATTTACTTTGAGAGTTAAGGCAAAAATAACGTTTGAAGATGCTATTAAAAGTAAAGCCAGCAAAGATGAACTTGAAGCAATGAACAAAGTTTTGAAATCTCATAAACACAATATCTCTGATATAAATGAACTTCAAGCTACATTAAATAGTAAAGCTGACAAGAACCATACACATAAATCCTTCACTACTGTTAGAGCAGACGACATAATATTGAACTATACCCTTGGTTCAAGTGCACCTTTAGAGAATCCAAGTACAAGCGTAAAAGATACACTAAACTCCTTAAATAACAAATGTATGAACATTGAAGGTCATGCCAGAAACTTTGAAACACATGAACTACCAGCAATGTTAGATAAAAAAGCAGATAAAGAACATACACATAACTCCTTCTCAACTGTTGCTATAGAAAGTATTGAAGGAACGGTTGACGGAACTGATGGGGATGCATTATATTATAAACCTCCTAACTTTCCACAAGGTTTAACATCGAATGAAAACATAACAACGAAGAAAAAAATTAGCTGTAAAAATGTTTATGTCATGAGCAGTGAAAATAATGTTAAATTCACTGCTCAAGATTTATATGATAAGAAAGCAGACAAAACAGAGCTTCAAACATTAAAGACTCAGATTCTTCAAACATTATATCCTATAGGCTCTATTTATACGTCAATGAACTCAACAAATCCAGCAACAGTTTTAGGTTTTGGTACGTGGAAGCAGATTGTAGACAAATTCTTATACTGTGCTAACTCTTCAAAGCAAACAGGAGGTTCGAAGAAAATTACTGAAGCAAACCTTCCACCGCACACTCATACAGGAACTACAAACACAACAGGTAGTCATTCACATTCAATAACAAAAAGAGGTTATAGAAATCTTGCAGCAGGTTCGGATAGACAGGGAATGGATAGATATGATATTTCAAGTGACCCAGTAGATTCAAGCGCAGGTATTTTCTGTGGAACCGCAGGAAATCATTCACACACTTTCACAACAAATCCAACAGGCTCGGGTGCAGATTATATGCAACCATTTGTGACTATATTCGCATGGTACCGCGTTCAATGAACGCGCTTGAGCCTAGAATAAAATCTTTAACTTTACATAAATGAGCTTGAAAGAAGTATTCGAACAACATCCATGGAGGTCATTTAAGAAGTTCAATGAAGCTGCAAAGAGTTGGGGATTTACTAACAGAGCTGAAGTGAAAAGGTTCTTTGACAAAAATGTTGTACATCAAACAAAAATAAACCCTTACGACTACTTTTTACCAATTTACTCCAACACTCCTGACGCATACCAATTTGACACTCTCATTCAAAGCAGAAAAGGAGGACATAAACCATTCCTCATCTTCATTAATGTTAACACTCGTAAAGCATATGCATATCCAATGAAAAATAAAGGAACTCGTGAAGTGTTAAGAGTTTTACAAAAGTTTGTAGCAGAACATAACCCAAGTACTTTAACATCAGACCAAGACAGTGCATACCTCAGCAATGAAATCACAGATTTTCTCATTAAGCATAACATAACTCACTACACTACTGAAGACCATAACCATAACATACTCGGCATCATAAACCGCTTCATAAGAACGCTCAGAGATTTAAACCAAGAGCGAGACTTTACCGAAGAAACAATGAAACACTTTCTCGAAGTATATAATTCCTCAACACATTCTACAACAGGACATACACCAAATTCAATGACACAACAACAAGAAGAAAAGTATATACAAAAGAAACGAAGCCAAACACAAAATATCAGAAATTCAACACAATTTACCCTCATTCCTGGTACAAAAGTTCGTGTAGTTCTTGACGACAAGCCGTTGACAAAGAAACGTTTAAGGTTAAGTAGAAACTATTATATCGTAGACTCTACGCAAGGTAATGGATATCTTATAAAAGCTGCTGACGACTCTATTGCGTTTTATCCTCGTCATAAATTAGTTGAAAGTAGTAATGGCAAACTTGCTGAAACCATTGACGAAGCAAAGCGAGGAGTGGTTATTGAAATACTTGGCTATAACATAAACGATGACACTTATAAAGTAAGATATGAAGGAGGCGTTGAAGATGTTATACCATCTAAGAACTTGAGAGAGTCAAAGTCAACTCATCTGGGACCATTAGAGCGGGAGTACTGGAAAGACAAAAATAAGCCAGAAAGAATAAGAAAATTCTTCTAAACTTTTTCATTAGATGTAAATCAGACATGAATGAGAACAGTCATGATATCATTAATGTTTTCATAAATTTACACCAAAAATAATGTTTAGGTGAAGAGGTGAGATCTCACCCGTTTTTTCACCTCTTTTTTCACCCTCGCCGCTTAGCGGCTCAGATTGCTTTAGCTTTCTCGTGAATTTTCATGAATTTCCTTAAGATAGAAAAAATAAAGTTAGTTTTATTTTTATTTATTTTTTTATTTTGTATAAAAGATATGATTTCAACAATCGGCACAACAACAATTCAAACAACTACAGCACCAAACTCGCTAGTCATGAATTCTACGTCAATGTTGGTAGAGATGAAGAAACAATAAGAATTACCGAAAAAGTGACAAAACATCAAAAACAGGGAGGGGGTCTCAATTTTTATTACTTATATTATTTTACAATATTTATATAAATACTCTTTATAATATATGGCATTCCAAACGGGAACCGCGGTTGGTTACCATGGATTTCCGTCACCGGTCACATTTTAAAGATTTTTAAAGCCTTATAAAAATATGCTTTGTAAATCATTTTTTGTAAATCGGCAAAAATTTGGTAATTTTCTTCAACTAATAAATCTGCGAATAGCATTTATAATACAAGAACAATCTTTTAAAATGCGTTTGATTCATTTTTGTATAATTTCATATAGGCACATATATTCTTCCGGGACTTTCCGTGATTTTACCGTAAAATCATTAGTTTACACCAATTTTTCCGTATTTTGAATAGTTTACTGCACTTTTTCCGTAAAATTGAGTTACGGGAATCCGCAAAATTTCCGGACCTCATTTTTCATAGAATATAATAATAATATTTGATAAAAAGATATATTATTTATATTTTTGATTTTTGAATTACGGAAAAAGTGAATTGATAACTTGATTTTTTTATATGGTTAATTTTTCAAATGATATTATGAAGATCTAAAATATTAAAAGTAAAAAATTGAATTACGGAAAAAGTGAGGTCAAAAGTGAAATAAATTTGCAGAACAATTTTCATTGAAATAAGCTTTATTTTTCATTATTAATAACAATGCTGTAATAAACAGAAATTCATCAAAAGTGACAGCTCTCAATTTTTTGACATTTGTAAATTCTAAATTGAATGAGAAAAATGAAATAATACTAAGCATAATACAATATTCTAGATTTAATTATAATTAGGAAAAGGTTAGTTTTGAGAGTACTTTTCATAGGCATATAGAATGAAATCTTCTGAAAAATAATATCACATAAACTCATATTATTTTCTAATATATAACTATTTTATATAAAAATCAAATTCAATGATCTTAAAAGCGAAGGATAAACCTCAAAATTTACGAATATAATGAGTGGGAATATAATGCTTATCTATCATAAAACCATATGAAATATCAATTTTTGCTTTACGCCTAATTTTTGACGACAATTAGCAAAAAATGTTAAATGTTAACACTCAGTCCATTTGAATATGAAAAATAAAATTGACTTTGATTAAATGTTTTTATTTATCATGCAATTCTTCTTGCGACCAAAGGTTTGAATAAAAGTTCAAAAAATAAGATAGCTTAAAAAATAATATACGGTAGTGTTTACTAATAGATGAATAGTATATAAATTCTATTAAAATGGATTTGATCCAAAAAAATATATAAAATTTGTTCATAAATAAAATCGTTTTAAATTACTTCTTCATTTAAATTATAACAATTATTTTTGGTTTTATCGTTTTTAAAGCTCATGTGGTTTTTTTAACCACAGAATACTTATGTGCTGTAGCAAGCTTGCAATCCAAAGCTCACGTTAGACAACAAGAGTCATGAAGTCTCATACTAAGGGATATCCAACATATATTTTAATAATCTAATGTTTGTGACAAATATTCAACATAAAATTAAGTTTTCGTTTCGTTACAAGGCATTCATACTTTGGAGATATCATATTTAATGTACAGAAAAGTTAATATTAAACAATACATGCTAAAGAATTAATAAATAAGATAATAAAATAAATTTATACGTAATTACTTTCATTTAATATGCTTTATGCTGTATAATATTGATTAAGAGGCATTAAAAGGTTCCATAATCTGCTTTTATAGGCAAGATTTTTGATAAAAATTTTAAATTTTGAAAAATGATGAGAAAAGGAAAAAAAGGTAAATGAGAGCAAGAGGAGGGAAAAAAAGAAAAAGAAAAGGAAGGGAAGGGAAAAATAAAAGAAAGAAGGACATATAAAAATTTAGATGCGCATTCTTAATGCCGAGGCGGCTTGCCGCCGAGGCGCGATTTTTTTAGGCCTCTACGGTAACCCGGCAATGTTTTTTTAAATCTTGTACAGCCCTATTATAATATATTTTACTATAAAATTATACCTCAAATTCAAATATTTAAAATATTATTTACATAATTATCTCAAAATTATATTTTTATATATTATTTTTCATATGTATAAATCATATAATCTATATCTATGCAAATCTCATCTAAAATTTTTTGAAACAAACCGCTACCATTTTATAATGGTCCATCTTAAATTCATCATAAATTCTGGTACATGTTAGTACCAGAGTCTTCAAATCTCAAACACTCTGGTACCAACATGTACCAGACGCGAGTTTCCAATGCCCTCGTACGATTTTCTATTAAGATCTTCTTGAATGAGAAGGTCTTCATAGAAACTCGTACGAGGGCTTCTCTTTTAAATACTCTGGTACCTGCTGGTATCGGAGTCGACTTTACAGCCCTTTCCCCATTTTGAAGCTGGGGAAAGTTTTCAAGCAATGAAAGGGAAGCCTCGCTATGAGGTGAAAATCTAGAATTTTTACCTCATAGCGAGTAATCCTTTTGTTAATTGCTTGAAAACTTTCTTCAAATTATCAAAATTTCGAGGAAAGTTTCCTTGCTTCAAAGTAGAGATGGAGCTCCTTGAGCCACTGCATATAGGTCAGTGACTCAAAATACTCCATCTCTACTAGAAATCGCCAAAATTTGGTCGCAATCTTTGAAATGCGACGCAAGTTTTGGCAATTTCGCGAGGGACTTGCTCCATTTGGTGCATAGATTCACACTCTATGCACCAGATGGAACAATTCTTTCGCTGACAGCGGGAAACTTTGTCTGAATAGTTTAACATTCAGACAAAGTTTTTCCGCTGTCAGAGAGGGAATGGAAGGGTAAGAGGTATATATCATAATGTATACCTCTTACTCTTCCATTCCCTCAAGAAAGTTCAAAAACTTGGGTGCAATCAGTTCTGATTGCACCCAAGTTTTTGAACTTTTATATAAGGAATTGTGGCTATGATGTACTGATTCATGATCAGTACATCATAGCCAACAATTCCTTCGCAACAGTGGGAAACTTGTCTGAATAGTTTAACATTCAGACAAAATTTCCCGCTGTCAGGGAGGGAATTAGAGGGTGGGAGATATATAGATAGACTATAAATCTCTCACCCTTTAATTCCCTCAAGAAAGTTCAAAAACTTGGGTGCAATCAGTTCTGATTGCACCCAAGTTTTTGAATTTTGTATAAGGAATTGTTGGCTATGATGTGGATAGCCGCTGCCAGACCAAATGAATTAACCGTTTGTGAATAACGTTTCTGAATCTTTATTTAAAAAGATAAAATATCACGATTTGGCTGCGTTAAAAATCAAAGAATTGATGTTTTTGTCAAAAATCTTTAGAAGAAGTTGCACCCAATTACTTTTATCGTATTAAAAACGATTTTACTTCAAACAGGTTTTATTCCTTCAATTAGAATTTGCGAGCCTCGATTGACAGATTATAAAACAAATTGAAAAGAGAAGTTCAATCACGTTTATACTAAGTATTAAATTTTGTTCAGAATCAA